GCAATTGCTCTTCTCGAACGGCTGGGTCAAATTAATCGTACTCTCAGCATAATTCTCGGCCTCAGAATCCTTCGAATCCCTCAATCCTCCGAGAGTAACTGCCAAAAATTTCATTTCAAGGTTCGGATATTCAACGTGTTCCCCGTGCCGTATGCAAACTTGTCGGCATGTGGGCATGCACTCGAGGCATCCATGCGGCTTCTGGGTTGCATTTTTATTGCACTTCATTTCCACAGCTGGTGCGAACTTCACATCCAGGCACATTAACTGTTGAACTATTCAGATTTCATATGAAGCTCGCAAGAATCACTGGTAGTGATGTTCCTTATGGTGCCGTGTTCCATTGCCGAACCTTGTGGGTAAACGAAGGGCTGGGTTCAATGGAGTCTGTGGAAAGAAATCAGATTCTCAGGTCGCAAACCTCGTGGATCATTGAACTTACCAATGTTCAAGTTCGTTTCCGATCTACAAGCGCATCTCGTGATGGAACCTGTGTGTATCTTCTTGTTCACTAAATTTGTGACTGATTGGGATTGGTTGGATACTGAAATTCAGGTTCATTTCCGATCTAGAAACGCACTCATGCTGAACAATCTACTATCTTGTTGGTCACTAAATTTGTTAGACACTGGGATTGGGTGAATACCGTGCACGACTTGTTGAACAAAAATATTTTTATCGTAGGTGGTTCCCTTATATTTTGGCCTACGAGCGAGTGTTAGACTTCAACCCCCACGGCCCAAATGCCTCCTCGACGCAGAAATGCGGAGCAACCAGTAGAACCTCCCCCTGCCAGCACGGATCCACCTCCGGTCGCTAGTCGCACTCGACGTGGTGGCCGTAGCGATCCACCAGCTCCCCCGCCCTCACGACGGCGCAGAATGCCAGCTCCGGCGAGCCAGACCGCGGATTCGCCGGCCTGTCATGTATGCCTTGTATTTGTCTCTCAGATTTCTGCTCAGCCGCACACAGCCAACCAGTTGCAGGCAGAACTCCCGCCACAACTGGTACTCATCGTGATGTTATAAATACGGGTCAGCACCTTTTCTGTCTATACATTTTGCGTTCATCTTCTCAAATCTGTCAGGCCAGCGGACTGGGGAAGGTGCAGCAGGGCGGACTCATCAGACGGTAATACAGTCTCATCTACTGATCAACAAATGATAACTTTGTTGCGATAGCAATTTCCACCGCAAACCCCAGCGCGTCGTATGGCGAACGAGCTAGCCAGTCGCCTTGCTGAACACACCGCAATGGCAAGTCCGGGCCCGCCTGTTCGTGATCGGCTTCATGCAAACTCGGATGTTGAAGACTCGTCTGACCCCGATTCGGACGAGTTCCCCCTCACTGTTCGTAAACGCGCTCCCCGCGTACCTGCGTTGAGGACTGGGTCGGACTCCGACGACGACACAGCGCCACCTTCAGCAGCTCCAGCGCCACCGATCCACCGGGCTGCAAAAACTACAACTGGTGTTCAGCAGCCTGCAACACGTGGCACTGGTCGCCGTCGTCGGGCACCCACTGCGAATACTCAAGCGAACACTGACCCTGCTGACGATGACGACTGTGTTTTTGTTGACCCTACTGATATTGTGAAAACCGATAAATCCGCGGACTCAAAGTATTTCTTCGGCCGGCGTTCTTTGGATAACGGGTTCAAATGTCGTCTATGCCCGTAAGCAGCATGAATTGACTATTCTGTTCATACTCTCATCTTTTGCAAGTCAAATGTCCTAATACCAGTCTCACAACCCGCCGTTCACAGCTACAAAATGCCCCAGGACATCCGGAGGAATATCTTGCGGCAGTGGAACAGTATGGATTCACTAACAAACTTCCTGCGGAACTGGCACGTCAGGTGGCGGAGGAGAGAGCATTGAGTCTGAACAGAATTCCATTCTCCATGAACACATTCACGGAGCAATTGGTAAAAGTGTTTGTTGCGAACGACCTGGTATGTTAAAATATTTCTGAACCTTGTTCAAAACTGACTTGAGCGTATAGTCGATTCACTTCATCGAGAGTCAAGAGTTTCGTGATCTCTTACTTCTTATGCGGGACTCGCTCGCCGAGAAGGATATACCCCATCGGACCAAGCTCACCAAGTTCGTAGTCGAAGCGTGGGTCAAGTATTATGCCGAGTTGAAAGTTACTTTGAGTGTGAGTTCAACACTGGCTTAACGCACACGAAGTTGACCCCTCACTGAAAGGCGGCAATTGGCAAGATTAGCTTTACAGCTGATATCTGGAGCAGCAAGGGATTGCACCCCTACCTCGCAATTACAGCCCATTGGCTCGGTCCGAGAGGGGATGACCCTCAGGTTTTGCTGCGCCAAACATTGTTGGCCTTTCGCCGTATTCGTGGCGCTCACAGTGGGCAGCGCATTGCACGCATCGTCTGCAATATTTTGGAGGATGCTGGAATTGTGCGGAACGTGAATATTTACCATGACGGCTTTGTTTTCAAAACCATCGTCTGACTTGTTGGATACCCTCAGGTCGGACATTTTACTCTCGACAATGCGTCGAATAATGGAACATTCATGTTGCATCTCAGCTCGCTCCTGAGTGACATCGGTGTTCTTGACTTCAACGAAAAGAAAAATTATATTCGATGTTTTGCCCACGTAGTCAACCTGTGCTCACAAGCTGTTATCAGGGTCATGGAAAAGGATGATGTTGATGCGGAACACTCAGACTCAGATACAGAGCCAGCAACGGAGTCGACCGACGATGAGGAACCAGTCCCAGTTGGCATGCGTGCGACACGCTACACACGGAAGGCTGGCCCTATTCACCGCGCTCGCAAGACCGTTGCATTCATCCGGAAGTCGGGACAACAACGGGATGAACTGCAAAATATTATCGCTCACGGCAACACGCGCTCCCTGTGGAAGGAGGTAACTGCGGGAGACGAGGGCACACTGACCGAGTCACCGGTTCGAAATCTGAACTTTGGATCTTCCACGGTATCTTTCTAACTTGTATACTTCCTAGATGAATCTGGCATCAGTGACGGTTATGGCGGATGTCAAGACCCGCTGGGACTCCGTGTTTTATATGCTTCGTCGGCTGCGATATTTACAACAGGTAAGTTAACATTCGAATTCTTTGCCAAATATGACGCTGTTGATCTTGGGAATTTTAGCCCATCGTTCGATTTTTTGCGCTCAACCCGGATGCGAATAAGTTGCGCCACCCTTTGGAGAATAAGCACTGGCTTCGCTTGGAGTTAATGGAACTGATTCTTCAGGTGACGTGAAATAAATATCTACCACCTGGATCTAATCCTGTGATTTAGCAACCACATACCGTCCAAACCACCATGTCGGCAGAAAATACCCCTATCCTTGCTGGTTCCATCCCCGCTTTCGAGCTCTTTATTTCGTCCTGGAAATCCATGCTTGCTGACCCCGACCTGCAAAAAGAAAATATTGCCAAATTCATTCAACCGGGCCTTGACATTGCGACGAATTATTACAACAAGATGGGAGATACGGACGCATACATCATCGCCATGTGTAAGTGATCCATGACTTGTGTAACATGCGCTTAGTATACAGTCATCAATCCTTCAATCCGGTTTGAGTGGATTCGCAAGAATTGGTCACAAGAGGAGCAAGACGAGGCAAAGAAAGTCATCTTGGTCAAGGCGAGTCAACCTCAAGCTCATTATATTTTGTTACGATCTGACTGATTGGGTCTCAAGCTGCGAGCATACGTGAATGTTATTGGGTCCCCACATCTTCGCTCCCGAGCCAGTTCCCCTGGTGCTAGTGGATCTGGCTCGGATTCTCGCCCCCCATCACGGCATTCCCGAACCCGCCCACTGGCAGGTGCCCCAACATTTACTGCGATCACACAGGTAGCAAACCGCTATCGAAATGCTGCACAGTCCCTTGATTTTTCTGGTGCAAGCGGCAGTGCAACTGGGGGCGAGCAATCTATCGAAGACGAAATGAATCACTACATGAGCAGTTCTCTCCCACCGCGAAAGTCAACTGACATGGTGGGCTATTGGCTGGTTTGGCACTCAGGTTTTCCATTTTCAACACAACACTCATAAATTTGAACTTAGAATCACGGGAAGACAACTTGGCCGTGGATATTCCGGCTCTTTGCAGACTACGCTCCCATCCAGGCCACCTCTGTGCCATCCGAGCGAGTTTTCTCATCATCAGCCGAGACTGATACCAAATGCCGGAACCGCACCAATGCCCTGCTGATGGAAGCACTTCAAATGCTGAAGTTCAATTACAAGAAATCACGACTTAACTTCATGTCTGGCTGGCAAAACAGTTGCCATTCCTGACGACGAGGAGGATTGGCTTCGCATTTTAGCTTCCAAAGGCGATGGTGACACAGAGGACACTTGGCGGGAAATTTCTGACAGCTGTGAGTTGGCAGATGGCGCGCCACATTTGGATATGCCAGAGGAAGCTGGATTCTCGTAAACATCTACCGTTTGCCAATTGTAAGCTACCGTACCCTATGCTACACACATCGTTCAAGATTTCAGGGGAAAACATCATCGACTTGATCGACTCGAGTCGACTTAAGTGGCTTCAAGTGACTTGGTTTCCCTAAGTCAAGTTGTAGTTGAGTCGGCGGTGCCCTTAAGTCGCGACTTTCAGGTCGCGACTCGACTTAGCGAGTCGCGGCAACACTACCATGGTCTGATGTCAGCTATCTGTATGGTTAACTGTGTGCCAGCGTACATAGACTCTGTGAGTGAGGAGGTATAAATCCACGGCATTCAACTTTGGGAGCCGTTAATCACATAAGTAAATTAGCCGGTACCCAGAGAAAATGGATTATAGTGGTTTACGTTATTCTTGGTTGCAACAACTCAGGTGAACTGGATATATACGTATGCTGTGAGCCATCACATTGTGATAGCTCCCGACATGACCTCAAAATGCCGGAACTCCGAGAACCGACGTGGCTGGCAAACCTACAGCTTGACATCCGATAATTAAAAAGCCACCATACCCAGACCATGGCTCATTGGAGAATCGAACTCTGTACCCTCCGTGGACAAAATTCCCTATATAGGAATTCGGAGTGCGTTACCGCTATGCCACCGAGCCGTGCCTTGAGGACAACCAGATATATTCTAGGTGCAACGGCTCGAGGGGGGGACAACAAAAGAAATATTCTAGGCGCAATGGCTTGACAGAGAGTCAAACTCCGAACCCTCCAAGTTACGATGTAAAGGACATTCAATGAACATGGAGTGCATTGCCGTTATGCCACCAAGCCATTCAGGAACCGAACTCTGGAAATGACAACCAGGCAGTAACTGAGATTTTAAAAATCATGCCCAGACCCAAGCAATGGCTCAGCGGAGAATCGAACTCCGAACTTTCCGTGAACGATACATGAGAATTGCATAGGAATACGGAGCACATTACTATTACGCCACCAAGCCATTCAAGAGTCGAACTCCGAAAATGTACCAAGCAACTCCGAGTTAAAAATATTACCCAGACCCGAGTAATGGCCATTGGCTCACCGGAGAATTGAACTCTGAACTTTCCGAGATACCCAGACCACAACTCCCCCCAAAAAAATGGATCGGATCTGAAGAATGGCTCAACAGAGAATTGAACTCCGGTGATAAGCTGGCTAAGTGAACCAGTGTGAAATCTTTCAATTTCACGCCAGTTACACAAGGTTACTAGCTGAAAACACAACATTAATTAATGTTTCTCCAAGAGCTATTGCAGAGGTCCGAGCAGATAGCTAGGGATATCACATGTGCTATAGAGAGAGTTGGTATGACTTGTATGACGGCCACCTTATGGGTCAGATTACAGGAGTATCTAAGTTCAATATGGCTAACAACGTGTCTAACCATCCGATCAGATTGGGACAGGTTGGCATGCTTCCTGAACAAGGGCACATAATATTATCCATTCAGAAGGATCACATGGACGGGGCTATACTATGGGTTATTCTAAGAAGTCGGTGGTCGAGTGGGGCCCGTATTGATAGCCAGGGGCCAGCCCAATAATAGCCGATCCCAATCGGGCGAGATATTGTTGATGACCCGGCTCGGCTTACACTCGGATACACATCCGAACCCTGGGCCCTTGATGAACCAGTTCAGTTGTTAGGGCTATGGAGGAGCCAATCACAGAGTAGATATTGCAGCAAGGAGGGCTGCAGGTTTTGGTTTAATCAACCAAGCCAGCACTGGTTCGCCTTGGCAACTGATCGCCCAGCGCAAGCCAAGCTAACCCTATACCCTGGCCGCATGGTTGTGCAGCCACTTATACCTTAGAATATTTATTGGAACATAAACTAATGTTCAACAGGTTTGGTTTGATACCCAAATAGTGCGGCGCCCGCAGCCCACTAAGTTCCATTTATCTGTTTGTACCAAACTCATTCTTTATTTATTGTTTCTGTTTTGGGATTGCTCGTTTGTATAAAAGGCAGTAGTTTAGCAGTGGAACACCAGTGAATCTACCCTTTCCCTCTACTAGTGCGAGCCTTGCTTGTACGCCTAGGGAAAGTCTAGCATTCATTCGGAATACCATTGGGGAAGCTCTTAGTTTCTACAATTTGTGTTTTGGTCTCACAATATATTTGATCATCTGGCAAAGTCTGAATATCTGAATATCTGAAATCTGTATATCTGGCATCTGGCATATCAGGTTTCTGGACATTTGGCATAAAGGAAATATCTGGCTTTGAGCATTTGGTACACACGCAATAGTAATATTGTTCATTACATATTTGAGAATGTTATACGGAAACCAACCTCCTAGATCTTCACTGATCACCCTTGGAATCATATTCTACAACCCTGTGATAAAAACCCAACTTTCCAAATCATCTAGTCCGCGTATAGCGCCTGGAACGATTGAGATAGTCACATAACCAACATTAATTAAAGAACTATTTCTTTGATTGTGAAGCCAAATTGCATACAGTGTTTTAATGTTGGAATCCCCGAACCCGCAGTCTGATTGTAGCGGACATAGTGGTGTTATTGGTGTTTTATAGTGGTTTATTGAGCCATTATATTAGACCAATTTCATTAGTGTTCATATAGTCAGTGTTTCACCAGATATCCTGCTAAAAGCGATTGTGCAACATCAGCAACAACGGATGTGTTACAACTATGCCATCAAGCCACATATGCATACAGTCTGGAAGGAAGGAACAGGAACTCCAGGTAACCAAAAAGTGGATAGCGCAAGCGAATGGCTCGACAGAGGATCAAACCGAATCTCTCTGTAAAGTCAAACAATGGGGTGAAATGGTACGGAGTGCATTTGCTGTTACACTATCGAGCTGTTACAGGTGGAATCCAGATCGGAGGAGAGCTAGGATCTGAAATGGAATGTCCAGGACTAGGGTGAACGAATCCGGACCATGGAGTTGGTGCCTGGTCAGGAACAGTGCAGACATAGGTTCATGGAGTCCGTAGTGAGTCACAGGTGAGTTCCGGGTGGAGGAGCGTGTGAGCAACCAGGTTTGGGACACAAAGGAACAACTCCGGCACAGCCTTGGACTGGGGGTATAAATACTACAGTTTGTCTAGCAGAATATCATCTCAGTTTCAGCCCACATTCTCAGCTTCTAAGCCTTAGCCAGCTTAGGAGTAGCTAAAACCGCCCAAACATCACCGAGAGGTCACCTGGAGTTGAGTTAAATAGTAAATCAACCTCTGGCACTCCCTCGCCGCCATCAGACAGCGAACAGAGTTTTATTTGGCATAAGTTCAGCATTGATTATTGAACCTTCTATTCCTCCCCTACATTAGTAGGGCAGTGAAATCTCTCAAGCAGCACAACAAGTCTTTGGAGTTCACGTGTAGCTGCTAGCTAAGGAAGTTGGTGGTGCAGAGCCCATGGAAGTTGCCTTCAGCAAGCGAATGGGTTGGGAAGTAGAGAGAGTAAACTCCGTAGAGGCATAAAGAGGGGTAGAAGGAGGAGAAACTTGCGGGAACGGTACCATGGACACATAACTCCCCCGGTCTTACGATCTACAACCCAAATATACTTTGGACGGCCGTGGTTCGAGGTCCAAGAAGCCCTTAAACCCATATTTCACCTTGGACTTGACAAACTGGACCCTGCATTGCCTTCCGGAGTTCCTCCTCCCAGGAAGTGTAGAACAGATTCAATCCCTGTTAACCTGAGAAGGCTAACTAGGCTTCGAGTTTGCTCTGTCCACCCTAGCTAGCAGGATCTTGAACGAATTGTTCAATCCTTGTATGGATATCCGCACCAATATTATTTGAAACCTCACTATGTACTTGTCTACTGCAACAGAACAAATTCCCCCTAGAGGACGAGCATTTAAACATAGCCCGGATCTCCCCACCATCTGGCAGTTTGAAGCACCACAGTCCGCATCACAACGCACTGTGTTCAGACCCCCCTGTAGGCATAGATGTGCCTACGTACACCGATCTCTGCCGAGGTGTGACTACCTAAGTCAATGTTGGCCAACATTGGTCTAACACGTCTGCTGACGTGAGGCCTGCCCATGTTGGACGATCTTGGCTGACAGTGGTGCGCCTATCATGGCCGATCTTGGCTGACCCGAGTCCAGGTTGGTGGCGGTTGAAATGAGGCCACCAATTCACCCTAGTTTTAATGGGAACTACTGTTTTGAGTATGTACAGTCATTCTCCTGGCACTTATCTTCCATCGATGTTCACGATAATTATTTGATAATCAAGCATTTTTGTCGATTGGTTGTGGATTACACACGGAATGTCAAATCGGAATGATCCACAGAGTTCAGATTTGAAGGCTGGTTGATAAACTCTAATAGCCTAACAAGGTGCATGAGAGTGAGGAAGGGTCAAAACTGGTGTCAAGATTGAGGATGGGTATGAACCATGCTGGGTCTCAAATTTGCCTAGCTAGGCTCATTGGCCCACGTGATTCTATGTGTGCCTATTCCTGCCGGAACACCTGGACCAACCTCGGCAGGGATCAGCAGATGGGTTGGCAGGGGTTGGCGCACTGGTCGGCCTACACATCTGCCTATTGGGATCCAGCAGACCTGTGCCTATAGGGGGGTCTGAATGCAGTACGTGCTGTTTGAAGTCTTGTTGAACAGAAACAGTGGGCATTTTGAGCGCATACTGTACCTGTATGTATTGAAGTAACACTGGAAGGACTGTGACAATTCCATTGCTTTTTTCTGAGGCAACGGTAGGCACCAGGACCATGACTGTTGCAGAAAATTGCAGCAGTAGGTATTTTGTTCACTCATTTTCTGTTGTGAAAAGTCAATGTTCGTGGACTTTCATAGTACAAACCTTTGGATACAGGGCCAGAATGCACCTCAAGCATGTATCTTGGCCTTGAAATATTCCCTGTTTTCCCCGAATATATGTCGCGATATTGTTGAGGCAACGGCCTTCATTGTGACTGTTGTGAGCCATCACTTTGTGACAACTCCCACCGAGCATCCGACCAATACAAATATCCGTGAACATCTTATACAAAACAGTGAAGCTCCGAGAATCAGAACCATGAAAGGGGATATGCACGCGTGAGATGACTGTTTTTGGCAATAAGGCAGCATCAGAGGCAGGCGAAAGGAGCGGTATCATAAGTCAGAACTAGTCAGGAGCGTGGGGTGCGCACGGAACGACTTCCGAGGCGCTGTAGTTTACGATGAAATCATCTCAGTTTGAGGCCCACATTTCCCTCTAATTCATACCGACCAGGGAAGACAAGTGCGCCACCACACGTAGAACTCACAGGTCATCAGAGATCCGATGATACGCTGGCAACTGACCCAGCAGTGTGGGAAGTGAGCAGGAATAGTGCAATGCAGGAGTGCTGAAGGTCGAGACCAACAACTAACTACCACAAAACCATCAACCAAACACTAAACCACTGCAAGACAGAAGTCATTGTGTTGTTTGTTTGGGGATAAGACCAAGTATTAGGCCTATCAGACGAGATTTACGGTGATAGTCTTTCCAAGAATCACTTGTGTAAATGGCCCTTGTCCGAGCGATCCCAAGGATGTTGTCTGCAATCGACTAGATTGTATACACAACACACAGTAGGTCAGCGCTTTTAGGGCCTTCTGGGATACAATGGGGTGCGATTTGATCGCGATATTGGGTTTTATTCGGGCTCAAAGGCCCTTCAGCAATGGTATCGACTGGGCTCAACGGGCTTTCAACAATCGTAAACGGATCGACTTGATTGTTGACAACGAGTACAATGGTGTATATGGCCTGGAGCAGATGCAAGAACAGTGTTTTAAACCGTGTATATGGTTGATTTCCATAAAGGAGCACACAACCTACCAACAACTAATCATGACTATATTCTAGCCTCCAACTAGCCGCAGGTGCAATTGGCTTGTAAACCCCCCAGAACACACTGGTGAACTGTATAAACGCGATTGAACAAGTATAAACTTGTAAGAACTTCCAGGCCA